GGGTGCAGCAAATGTAGTTCTTAGAAGGAAGTCAATAGCAACACAGGACTTCAAGAAACAAGAGAAATCTAACTTTACACTTTAAGGAACTAAAAAAAGAAGAACAAACAAAGCCCAAAGTTAGTAGAAGGAAGAAAATAATAAGATCAGTGCAGAAATAAATGAAATAGAGACTAAAAAGACAATAGAAAAGATCAATGAAACTAAGAGCTGGTTCTTTAACAAGATAAACAAAATTGACAAGCTTTTAGACTAAGCAAGAAAAAAAGTGAGAGGGCTCAAATAAAATCGGAAATGAAAGAGAAGTTAAAACTGATACCACAAAAATACAGAGTATGATTAAGAGAATACTATGAACAATAATATGCCAACAAATGGGACAACCTATAAGAAACAGATAAATTCCTAAAAACATACAGTCTACCAAGATTAAATCATGAGAAAATAGAAAAGTTAAATTGACTGATTACTAGTAAGGAGATTGAATCAGTAATCAAAAACTTCCCAGCAAACAAAAGGCTTAGACCCGATGGCTTCACTGGTGAATCATCCCAAATATTCCAAAAAGATTTAATACCTATCCTTCTCAAACTCCTCCAAAAAAAATGAATAGGAGGGAATGCTTCCAAACACTTTTTAGGAGGCCAGCATTACCCTGATTCCAAAACTAGACAAGGGCAACACCGAAAAGAAAACTACAGGCCAATATCTCTTATGGACATAGAGGTAAAAATCTCAACAACATATTAGCAAACTGAATTCGACAATACATTTAAAGGATTATACACCACAATCAAGTGGGATTTACTCCAGGGATCAAGGATAGTTCAACATCCACAAATCAATTGATGTGATATACCACATTAACAAAATGAAGGATAAAAATCATATGACTATCTCAGTAGATGCAGAAAAAGCTTTTAAAATTCAAGAGTCATTTACAATAAAAACTCTCAAAGTGGGTATAGAGGGAATATACTTCAACATAATAAAGGTGATATATGACAGACCCACAGCTAACACCATAGTCAACAGTGAAAAGCTGAAAGCTTTCCCTCTAAGATCAGAAATAAAACAAGGATGCCCACTCTCACCACTTATACTCAAAAAAGTATTCAAAGCCATAGCCACAGCAATTAGGCAAGGAAAAGAAATAAAAGGCATCCAAATTAGAAAAAAAAAAAAAAAAGTAAGACTGTTACTGTTTGCAGATGACATGATACTATATATAGAAACCCCTAAAGAGTCCACCAAAAAAACATTAGAACTAATCAATGAATTCAGCAAAGCTCCAGGATACAAAATCAATATGCAGAAATCTATGACATTTCTTGTACAATAGTATTGACATGAGTATCCATTCATCAAGAGTATTGACATGAGTATCCATTCATCAATAGATGAATGGATAAAAAAGATGTGGCATATAGGTATAGATAAAGATACAGATACAGATCTAGAGATACAGATATACCCACAATGATACTATGCAGCTATATAAAAAGAATGAAATCTTGCCATCTGGGATGATATGGATGGAACCGAGGGTATTATGCTAAGTGAAATAAGTCAGAAGTAAAAAGACAAATACTGTATGATTTCATTCATATGTGGAATCTAAAACAAAACAAAACAAATAAATAAAACAAAAACAAACAGTTACAGGAAACAGATTGGTGGTTAACAGAAGGGAAGGGGGCTGGGGGATGGGTGCAAGGCATTAAGGGGGTCAATTGTATGGTGACAGAAGTGACCATTTGGTGCGTGATCACTTTGTGGTATATACAGATCTCAAATTATAATGCTGTACACTTGAAACTTATATAATTTTTTAAACTCCCCAAATCATACGTATTTCCACTGAAAACCAACTGAATTAAGTTGTTGATGAAAAACGGTCAAATATCAGTAGTTTATATAGTTCAACTCTAATATAAGACAAGTTAAAAAAAAACTTACCTTAACTAAGGCGACCCCTTCATTAGTTTAGACAAAAATGAAATACAAATAGGAAGAGAATTTACAGGGGAACAGTTTTCCTGCAACACTTCTTGGCAATCAAGAGACTGACTCTGTCAGTCAGCTCAACATGTAGTCAGTATTTTATCCAAGATGACAATTCACTTCTACGACTTCATCTTCAGTTCCCCAGGCTATTAAGTTTTTCCCATCTCTGGCACAAACTTTATTTCAGTTTAACAATATACTATCTGTTTACTATGTGCAAAGTTATTTTCTAGGTGTTTGGTTTTCCTTACCCATCTCATTCTATGGTCTACTATTAAGTATTATCAAACTAAAAACATACTAAATAATGTACAAATGTCACTTGGCTCAAAGAATGTATTAAGTACACTTCCATTAAAAGCACAGGAAAGGGTAAAAAGTTCTTCAGAGAATGAAAAATATACCTAAACTTAAGTATATTAAATCAGAATCATAAAATTTCATAAAAAATAATGCAGGTAATCTATTACAAGCAACAGATTTTAGAAGACAAAATATAACTTTCTCTTCAAGTACTGTATTCATTGCTGGAAAAATGTTAGGACATATTAATGAAAAAGCAATAGGACACCTAAACATTCTAGAGTTTCTTTGCTTTACGTACTAAAAATGCTTCCTCATGGTCCACTATAGCCTTGCAACTCCAAGTGTGCCCAGGGTCCAGAAGCACCATCCTTACCTGGGAGCTTGTTAAAAATGTAGATTCTCAGATTCACCCCCCAACCTGCAGAATCAGAATCTGCATTTAAATATGATTCCAAGGTGATTCCTATGCACATTTAAGTTCAAGAAGCACTTTCTCTACAACATCGTTCTTAACTCAGGTCCTAAGGGCAACATGAGCTTCACAAATTCCCTGAAATTTCATGCAGAACTTTTTGTGAGTGAATATACATAGATTTTACTGGGTAAAGGCTCCATATTTTTTATCAAACTCTCACAGGAATATAACGATCTCCAAATAGATTAAGAACTACTAGATTCTATGGCACAGTTTAAAAGTCAAAATATTTCAAAAACTATTTACGCTACTCTCAATGAGGTCTGTTGAAGAATGACAAGAATGAAGGTCAGAACGTCACAGTGGGTCACGGAAGACCTTATCTGAAGAATTTATTCACACCATGCAAGAACTATGCCAAGAAACCAGTTTGGAGACATCTAAATAAATAATTCTCTACATGAGGTTTGAGATTAAGAATGTGCACTTGAAGAAGATTCAAACTGAGAAGTAAATAAATATAAGGTAGGATTTTTTTTTTAAGATAGGATGCCATTAGATGACAGCAAAGGGTCCTGAATTCTTGTTGTAAGAGCTCAATCAGCAAATCTCTAATACAAATTCTGTTTGATTTGGGATACAGAACCATTTTAAAATGTTAACTTCCAAGTACATTCTTACAATATTTCCTTTATGAGGGATCCCAACACGTTTTACTAGTCGTACTTTCTTCATCCTCTTTGGACCTCAGAAGACAAAACAATGAAGAAATATGGCACAAAAATTAAAAAGGACTTGCCCAGGATCTTCAGTGAGCTAATGATAAACAGTAGCTCATCTCCAGAAGGTTCTCACTAATATATGAGAACTGTGTACGTTTCATGCTTTCATCTTATCACATAACCATCTCTTTGGGGTGTGTATTATCCAGAGGCACAGACAATGTTTAACTTGTTTCCTTAAGCCATAGTGCCTGATAGAATTTAATTTCCTTAATGGGCAACCAAAATGTAAGTTTAAAATGTTAACTGGATTTATCTTGATCCTGATGTTTTATTGTACTATTACTGTAATTTTTCATCTGTGATGGGTCTAATCCCTGACAATCTGATCTCTGGGGTGGATCCATATCCAACCATACCAGTCATTCCAGGCAAGAGAGAATGCTAAAAAATATTCAGGGGATCAAGATTACCCTAGGATTACAAAGTTAGACAGTGAAAAGTTTGGGGCTGTATTTTGGCGTGGAGAGGAGAGTAAGGTTAGTAAGCGCATAACAAAGAACAATGATGGGGAAGAAACACTGAACCCAGTTTTATCTGGAGAAATGAAACAAGGAAAAGGAGACAAATACTTAAAGATAAAACAGGTTACTGAGAACAGGAGTAAATGGTTCCTTGCACATTGTCAGTGAGCATTTGAAAAGTAAATAATATGATCATTAATGACAATTTTTACAGTAAAATAAAATAAAATGGCAAAACCAGTATCCGAATGCAGTCTGTAAGTCTGCAAAGCTCATGCACCTAACCACTATACTCACAAAAAACTGATCCAGTTTATGCAAATGATAAGTAGTTCAAAAATGTTTTAACTGGAAATCTCAAATGTCATAGTAGTTTTATTTTTAAAAACACATTAAACATATTTCCAACAACAAAGAAGGATATAAAAAAATGTACTAGCTAAGCCACTTAATCTTATTCTTTACCTGAAAGTGTCACAGAACTAAGAGGTTAGGGATATATCACAAAATTCCCAGATACCCTATAATCACTCATACATTTATTTCCTCCAGAAATCTGCTCTCAGCTTTCTGGAACCTTTTTACAATTTCAATCTGAACCATTTCTCAAGCCTAAGAAATCTCTGTTTACTCCTACTGTTTAAAGTAACATCTTTTATTTGTCTGAAGTAACTTTATTCCAGCTTCAGTGGAGATCATCTATCAATAGATCTCTTTCTCTGAGTCAGGTAAACTCTACTCTTCCCTTAATGTAGTACCCAGTCAGTAAACAATCAACAAACCCTGAAACTTAAAAAAAAAAAAAAAAAAAAGGATGAGTATATTTAAAGTCTAAAGAATTAGAATCTAAGATATCTTAGTACATCTTCAGTTTCCTTAAATCAGGGAACATTTGTATTTAAAATGATATTTAATATCCAGAAGATAACACAGCTATATTATATGGATAAATTCTTCATCACATCTCAAACATACCATATTGAAACGTAACAACAGGTTCACTTCCCCGGTTCAAATGTTAGTTACCTCTTCATCATCTTCCTCATCTTCAACATCCAGAATTCCTGAATCCTGTTCAGACTTGGGGCTAGTGCTTCCTATCTCTGTATCAAAAATTGTATATGCATCTTTCTTAGGTTTTCTCTTGCTACCTATTCTGGGTTGTTGCAAGATGATGTTATCCAGGTTTCTTTGTTGTTGGGCCTAGGATAGAAACACATACACGCAAATAAACAACAAAAGAAACAGAAATTAATTAAGTATTCAAAGAACTTCTAATTTTGAACTAATTGGTATCTTAAAAAAATACAACGAAATCCCTTAATACATAAAGTTTTAGTGCCAGAAATAAAAACAAACATATTAATGTAAAGATTTTTAACCCTGGAGCTACCCATCTTTATTTGTTTCCCCATAGAAAAAAAGATAATCAGTCAATATTATCATGGGACTTTTCAAATACAAACACTAAGTCATCACAAAAAAGAAATCTACTGATTTGTACCTAAGTAGCCAAGAGATTAGTAAAAATGACTGAATATTTACCTCTTGAAAGATAAGCGCTATACTAGAACCACTGTGGTTGGGAGAAGAGGGACAGGAGCCTTTAAGCTTAGGGGACTCTTAGAAACACATATGTGGATACAAGGGACCAACAAATTTTAATCAGGAGAATGAAATATCTTAATAGAGTAATCTGAACCAACGAATGAAACAGGATTTCATGAGCTTAGTCTGTGGAAAACAGAGTTTTAAGCATTTCTTTTTCTAAACTTTTATAGAAAAGTATAATTCCCTCAACAAAATAGACTCAAATGATGGTGTGGTTTCCATAGATCCAAAGAGGTGGAAAGTGTGACTATACAGACTCAACAAAAGAAGCTAAACCAAAGTATCAGAGCTGGAAGGGACCTTGGTCACCACTCAGGAAATAGGCTAGAAGACAAAGGATTTGTTTGAAGCTACAAGGCTAGTAAGTGATAAATCAGAGGCCCAAAGTGTGATCTCCTAAATTCCATATCAGTGATCTTCCCACTATACCGACAGTCCCTCAAAGCATGACGAAAATGTTTCCCCAAAAGAAAGAGTTCTGTGGTCAAATAAACGGGAAACACTGCATGTTATACAAGCCTTCTTGTAGATATACGATACACATTAACAGAATAAAAACTGGGAAAAGTCCTATTTTAAGGAAACTTCTTTAATATGGTTTAACCCAGCACATTCCAAAAGTATTTCACAGTGGAACTTTCCTTTTTAGAAGAAATAATACTAATACTTAGTATCATCCGAAGATACAAAGCTGTGAGAAATATACAGAATATACATTGCTTAATCAATATATGATATTTCTACTCAGTGACAAGTAGAAATTAGTTCAGGAGAAAAATCAGAATCTCCAAATATTCTGAATGAGATTAAGGAATTCTAGATAAATATTCAGTATAAGGTGTTAGTCCAGGTACTGGTTAAATGAGACAATTATAACAAGGCAGAGAAAAACTTGAACTATGTGAGCTAGCTTCTGCCAAGAAAATGAAAAGAATCTACATTCCAGAGATTTGAATCAATGGACTAACTTGTTTCTCTGCATAGTACTTGTTGATATTTTGGTTTGACTTACATAAAATACATGGCTTCAGTAACAAAACTGAGAGAGAAGGTATCCAAGCACATTTATGTTTGTACACAAGACATACATATCCTCCAAGCATTTGAGACCCCAAATTAGATAGAACATTCTACTTCTCTCAAAAGTAAGAAGTTCTCCCCCACTTACTTCCAATGCAAACCACACAAAAAGGGAGCCAGGACTCTAGAAATCTAAAGCTTTCATATTTAAAAAAACAAGCTCTCAACTAGAGAGTAATCACTTGTCTCTTTATCCTCTCTTTCAGTACAGCAAAACCAAAAGCTTTCATAAGTTGGTCTTATTTTATTGAATCCAAAGTTAAATATTTTTCCTTCACAATCACGAAAATACTATCAGTGTACCAAAAGCAATCAAAAGGAGCCACACTTAAGTACTATCATTTATACTTGAAATGATACAAATCTGAAAGTATCCTATGGAAGTAATTTTAGATCATCTATGATTTGTTCTTTTTAGGTGTGTCTGGTTTACCAATCAATCTGATGGAGCGCAAAGCAGTTTAGGCCAAATCAGCAAATTATAATAGCAAACCCTATGCTAGAAATGAGAGCACGGCAAGTTTTATTCCAAGTCTCTATGAGAACCTGGGGTCTCTGTCAAAATTATCAAGCCTTCTCCAGTCTATAAATGAGCAGTCAGGGCAGATCTGCCAAGAAGGAACTGGCCAAGTTGGAAATACTAAAACAGGTAGAACAACGAAATAAATACTCAGTTATTACCCATTAGGAAGCAAAGGAAAACTGCCATCTATTCAAAATGTATACTATGGGACTGGCAGGAAGTGGATTAGAGTAAACATAGATATAAATATGTAAATATATGCAATATATTAAAATTAACATGTGACTCTGAAGTCCATAAAAAACAATAGTAAAAGCTCTTCAGAGCTCTTTTCTAACATGCTAAGCCACCTCAGCAGGACCATTTATTCTGTCCCTCCAAAGGCAACCTTGGAGCCAAAGAAGCAGCTACTGATTTCTGCTGCCTAGGTTGGAGTAGAGGTAAAAGGGTATCAAGCACACAAATAGACTTAAGAAAGCATTTAGGCTTTTTTTTTTCTTGGTTGTTCACTCTCTTTGTGAATAATCTTTACACATTTACCCACCTCTTCCTCGAGATTCCTCACGTATGTTCTTCTCTGGTTTCCTAATATACAGAAATTAAGCAAAGGTTTATTCCTCAGCCCCTACTCTTCTACCCTCTGGTTTCCTAATATACAGAAATTAAGCAAAGGTTTATTCCTCAGCCCCTGCGCTTCTACCGCTCTTTCCACTCTCCCAAGATCCAATAGCATATCTCTAGTTTCGTATTACTACTGTGTGTTCTACCATCACTTCACCTCCAACATACCTAAAATGGAACTCATCACCTTCTCATTACAATTCCCATGCATATTGCAGCCAGGCTCTTCTTAAACCACATCATTCATCACACCAATTAAATATGAGGTAAACTGGGGGAAACAATTTGAACAAGTACAAATTCAAACTCCATAATCTTATCACTAAGACTCCACAATAATGGAAGCTGAACTTAATTTTCCAATGTATTATCCAATACTCTACAACGTGAATCTTCTACTTGGATCAGAATCTACCTCATAATACACTAAAAATATTTCCACTACTGTATCTTTGCTTATGCCATTTCCCTTCTAGATGACCTCTCCCTGCCTGTATCCAACCTTTCCTCCAAAACACAAGTAAAATTATTCTTCCTTTAGGAAGCCTCCTCTCACTGTTCTAATTCACAGTGTTTTCTCTCTGTATCCCTACTTTCAGTCAAACATGCATTGAATATCTACTTGGCACCAGATATTGCACTGAGTATACAAAGAATTTGGGTATACAAAGAATAAGATGGATTCTCTGACTCTTGAACCTCACATCATTCTATTGTAAGAAGTAGGTAAGCAATTGAGTGACTGAAATTCAGTGCAAAGAGTATAAAGATAGAAATAAATACAGGTGCAGTGATTAGACAAAGGAGAAAGTAATCATATCTGCTTGTAGGGATGTAAGGAACTTCACAGAGGAAGAGGTAGCAAACTGTGCTCTTAAAAGATGAATATGGGGCTTCCCTGGTGGCACAGTGGTTGAGGGTCTGCCTGCCGATGCGGGGGGCGCGGGTTTGTGCCCCGGTCTGGGGGGATCCCACGTGCCACGGAGCGGCTTGGCCCGTGGGCCATGGCCGCTGGGCCTGCACGTCTGGAGCCTGTGCTCCGCAACGGGAGAGGCCGCAGCGGTGAGAGGGCCGCGTACCGAAAAAAGAAAGAAAAAAAAAAGATGAATATGATTTTTCCAAAGGGAAGTGCATAGAAAGGGTAACCATTCCAGAAGAAAGAAACCGGATGAGAAAAGACCACCACATGTGAAATAACATTATCCACACAAGGAATAAATAATTTTGTATAAGAACATAGGTTATGAAGGACTAACAAGAGGTAAAGTTAAAGATGCCATACAAAGCAGTTTCAATGTTAGCTAGTAGGCAATGGAGAAACTACAGAAGAACGTGAGCAGGGGAAGAACAGGATCACCTTTACAATTTAGGCAAATCCCCTAGGAGCGGAGGAATGCTCAACTAGGAGAAGATAAAAAATAGAAACAGGAAAACCAATATAGATCGTGAAAGGAGTCCAAATAACAATGATGAGGACTTGAATTAAGGTAGCAGCAGCTACAGAAAAAGTAGAAGCAACAGAATTTACTGATTTAAATGTAGTACATGGAAGAGGGGAAGGAAATAAAAATAACTCCAAGTATTCTGGTGTTTATGACTACATGGTGGGATCATTCCAAACAATAGGAACCGTGGAAATAATCAGTTGAAGGTAGGATAGAGAAGATGAGTTCAATAAACCTGTCAGATATCCAAGTAAAAAATAACAGTATGGCACTTCAGTGTATAACTCTTTTCTTTAGGACAGGAAACATACTTCACCAGTATGAGAATCCCACAAGCTCAGATACAGTGACACATACACAGTAAATTCAGATAAATGTTTACTATATAAAGGCAAAAGATAACAAAAGAAACTTATTTAAGAATGAGATTTGGCCCAATAAAAGAGAGGGATATCTGTAAAAGACATGATTTGGGTATTCTCCTACCTATTAGAAGGTGGATGGGGTGGGGGGCGACCCATAAGAATTACCTAAACTGAACTATTCACCTAAAAATGTAGCTACTAAAACTTTTACAACTGTCATTACACATGCTATTAAATGAAGTTTTGTTGTGAATACAACTTCCAAGGGTTCCTAGCAATAAGACTCAAAGAGTTAAAATTCTGTGAATCAAAAGCCAAAGGCTCCTTTCTTTATCAGCCCAATACTGACCTCTAGTGGACTACAAGAATATATAAAATTGAGCTTGAAAATCAGAAACGGGTTGAAAAGGGAGAGAGGTGTAGGCTTATAGGTTCAAGGCCTGATACAATTAACTACATGGACTTCAATTACAGGGTGCTATACCAGAAAAGAAAAAAAGAAGAAGAAAAAAAACCTTCTTGGAGTAAGACGGATCCTTAAATCTAAGCTCTGCAACA